GCCATAGAGCCCGCGGAGAGCGGCCGCTCTACCATCGAGAGCGAGCGCAGAGCGGCGCCTCGGCATCACGGAGAGCGAGCGCAGAGCGGCCCGTTCTCTACCATCGAGAGCGAGCGCAGAGCGACTCCTCGGCACCACAGAGAGTGAGCGCAGAGCGGCCCTTTAGAGCTAGGACCATGGAGAGCGAGCGCAGAGCAGCGCCTTGGCACCATAGAGAGCGAACACAGAGCATCCCGCTGGAGCCAGGGTCATGGAAAGCAAGCGCCGAGCGGTGCCTCTACCATAGAGAACAAGCACAGAGCAGCCCGCCAGAGCCAGGACCATGGAGAGCAAGCACAGAGCGTCTCCTCGGTACCATAGAGAGCGAGCGCAGAGCGCTCTGCCGGAGCCAGGACCATGGAGAGCGAGCACAGAGCGCCCCCTCGGTACCATAGAGAGCGAGCGCAGAGCGGCCCGCCAGAGCCAGTACCATGGAGAGTGGGCACAGAGCGGCCCCTTGGCACCACAGAGAGCGGGCACAGAGCGCCCCCTCGGTACCATAGAGAGCGAACGCAGAGCAGGCCGCCAGAGCCAGCACCATGGAGAGCGAGCGAGGGAGCCCCTCTCTGTCATTGAGAGTAACGCAGAGCGGCCTGCCAGAACCAGGACCAGGGAGAACAGGGGCAGAGCAGAGCCTTGGCCAGGCCCGACCAGAACAGCCTCTGCTCCCCGCACAGCCAAGGCCAGCGGCATCTGGAGCAGACCGGCTCCTTGCAGCCCCAGCGATTCCAGCCACTGTGCCTAGAGCCGAGCTTCCCGCTCTTGCAGGCTGCCTGTCGCCTCAGCCCACGTCAGAAGTGTCTGGCCATGGACCAGGGCTCCGTTGCACCGGGCGCTGCACTGATACCGGACAAAGACACGGGCTCCGTTGCGCCAGGCGCTGCACTGACACCGGACAAAGACACGGGCTCCGTTGCGCCAGGCGCTGCACAGACACCGGACAAAGACAAGGGCTCCGTTGCACCAGGCGCTGCACAGACACCGGACAAAGACATGGGCTCCGTTGCGCCGGGCGCTGCACAGACACCGGACAAAGACATGGGCTCCGTTGCGCCGGGCGCTGCACTGACACTGGACAAAGACATGGGCTCCGTTGTGCCGGGCGCTGCACTGACACCGGACGAAGAAATAGCCCTAACACAGCTGCCAGTCTAGTGGGAATCAGGGTGATAGAGGGGTGTAATAGACACCTGGGGTGAGTCAGTGGAAGGAAACAGTGAGGCATAAGAAGCAGCTGTCCCAACTCACTAGCTGCCAAGCCCTTTGTCTGTAGCCCCAACTGCAGAAGATTTCATAGATTTCATAGACTTTAAGGTCAGAAGGGACCATTATGATCGTCTAGTCCGACCTCCTGTACAATGCAGGCCACAGAATCTCACCCACCCACTGCTGTAACAAACCCCTAACCTATGTCTGAGTTATTGAAGTCCTCAAATCGTGGTTTAAAGACTTCAAGGTGCAGAGAATTCTCCAGCAAGTGACCTGTGCCCCACACTACAGAGGAAGGCGAAAAACCCCCAGGGCCTCTGCCAATCTGCCCTGGGGGAAAATTCCTTCCCGACCCCAAATATGGTGATCAGCTAAACCCTGAACATGTGGGCAAGACTCACCAGCCAGACACCCAGGAAAGAATTCTCTGTAGTAACTCAGATCCCACCCCATCTAATATCCCATCACAAGCCATTGGGCATATTTACTGCTAATAGTCAAAGATCAATTAATTGCCAAAATTAGGCTATCCCATCATACCATCTCCTCCATAAACTTATCAAGCTTAGTCTTGAAGCCAGATATGTCTTTTGCCTCCACTATTCCCCTTGGCAGACTGTTCCAGAACTTCACTCCTCTGATGGTTAGAACCCTTCGTCTAATTTCAAGTCTAAACTTCCTGATGGCCAGTTTATATCCATTTATTCTTGTGTCCACATTGGTACTGAGCTTAAATAATTCCTCGATCTCCCTGGTACTTATCCCTCTGATGTATTTATAGAGAGCAATCATATCTTCTCTCAGCCTTCATTTTGGTTAGGCTAAACAAGCCGAGCTCTTTGAGTCTCCTTTCATAAGACAGGTTTTCCATTCTTCGGATCATCCTAGTAGCCCTTCTCTGTACCTGTTCTCGTTTGAATTCACCCTTCTTAAACATGGGAGACCAGAACTGCACAGAGATTGTTTGAAGGAGGACAACGAGGAGGCCTTGTGCAAGTGATAGGGATGCTAAGCCAGGCTTTATAATGGAAGCTAGTTGCTATCACATCTATGCTGAGTGCATGCAGAGAATCTTTCTCCTCTGCCAGCCATCCTTGTTGGGTGAGAAGTACTGGTTCTCTGACTCCTGCAGAGTGAGGCCCCATTTTCATGGGGTTCCTTCTCGGCCCTAGCACCTCCAACATCCCCAAATCTGTTTACTCATCATCACTACCTGCTCTTTCAGACTAAGTAGCTGCTTGGCTTCCTGAGCTGGCCTCAAGCAGATGTGATGCAGCCCTGGCCAGTGGTTGCTTGTGTCCAGGGGGAGAGATGTCTGTGGATCCCAAAGCATCTCTTCTTTGTTTTGGAGAAAGTAATCAGAGACTGATATGGTGGGGTCAGCAGTTTGCCTGAAACACCCGCCCAATTAGCAGATGTTGGTCCAATTGGGCATTGTTAAGTGGGTTCTGCTGATTCCCTGAGACAGGGGACTTAGTAACTCACAAAGATATAAGGGGGGAGGGAGTGGCTCTGTTATCCCCCCCCCAATATTTTCCCTCCCTTCTCTTCAGTCAGCCAGCCTCATACTCTCCTTTTTTGCCCCCACATTCCCTCAGCCTCACAGTCTCCCTCTAAACCCATCCCAGACACTTCCATTCCCTCCCTGTTCAATGCATAGGACACATGTGAGAGAGACAAGGTGGGTGAGGCAATATCTTTGTGAAAAGTGTTCTCCCATGAGTGACAGGGTGTTTTTGTCTGTTATCACTTTTTCTGTTTGAGTTAATTCAAGGGCACACTATGTGAGTGAAACCAGACAATCACTGCACTCTCCAATTAACTCACACAGAAAATAGTTTTTTATTATAAAATATTTTAATGAATTGAGCAGTTGTTGTTGTGTCTTTAGTGCTGAACAGCAGCGAGTCGCGACACCTGAATTAAAGCATTCCTACAGATCTGCATGATCTGATGCTGTTTTGCATGCAATGGATGTTTCTTTATGGCCTAGAATTCCTGACTAATTTGCTGCCTTTTCATCAGGAAGCGTATATGGTCGGTAATCCTGACAACCAACTCATATCCCAAACATTCCATGGACATCAAACTCTCTCAAGACATAAAGATCCTATCTTCACTAGGAAAAAAAATTAAGATTTTACTGCATGCTAGCTAACACATGGTAATTGACACATGGAAAAATCCTAGAGAATTCAAGCCAGTGGTAGGTTTTGTGGTTTGCTTGTATTACTCTTTATTTATTTAGGAAATTTTAACCAATCTAAAAATGAATTTTTGTTTAGAGAAACATTATATTGTAATATAATCATGAGCTCTCTCTGTTTAACAGGGTGTTACCATATTACAAAGTGAGCATCTTTACACTTCCCACAACATGTTGTTTCTGGTGATTTTATTAAATCAAGTGAAATCCCTGATTGCACTCATTTAACAAACCAGGCATGTCTATCAAATATTAATATTAGAATCATAGAATGTCAGGGTTGGAAGGGACCTCAGGAGGTCATCTAGTCCAACCCCCTGCTCAGAGCAGGACCAATCCCCAGACAGATTTTTGCCCCAGATCCCTAAATGGCCCCCTCAAGGATTGAACTCACAACCCTGGGTTTAGCAGGCCAATGCTCAAACCATTGAGCTATCCCTCCCCCCCCAATCTTAATATTAAAAAAGATTGGACAGGTGTGGTTTTTTTTTGGCAGGTGAATGTACTGGCAGTTGTAGCTTTAACATGTTAGCAGGTCAAAATTCCTAGTCTTTACCCCAATCTGCTAATGTGTGTTAAAGCCACAACTGCCTTGTCTTCACTA